ACAAATAATCCATACACAGATGGCAGATCTGTGTTTTGTCAACCAGATGAATCAAGCTAAGATGAAGAAAATTAATAAAGTGTCCCAGTAATTAAAGAATTCTATTTTATAAGATTCTTTCTCCACTACCCTAAGTGGCAGAAGCATAGCCAGCACATTTGCTCGTCTTGGGTGGGCATCCTAGTGGCCATGTGACTGACTGAAGGGCTGCTTTGTACAGTGCTCCAGTCACCGGTCTGTCTATCCTCAGTCTATGTTCAAAATCACTGTAAGCATTTCAATGCCAAATGGAAAGTCCTAGAAGTTGCCTTAAAAGCACACTGCAGCAAAATATGGGAAAATAATAGTAATGGCTAAGCTAATAATAATTTGGAGATTAAAAATGAAAATAACTATTTTACAACTCTGAGCAGACCTTCATGAAACTCATACTCTACCATAATAAGGGAACTTCTTCCAGCTGATACCTAATGTACAGTATTTGGACTTTAAATCAAGCACTCCAGAAAGAGATCAGTTTATTAAGAAAAAAAAAAAAAAAAAACTGGACTGCCTTGTAATTCTGTTGGAATTTTCTATAGAGAATTTTAGTCTGACTGTGCTATATACTGCAGTGCTACGAAATGCTGTTCTATGGAAATGTAACATCTAACTATAAACTACAATTGACAAGTTTATTTTTGATAGTTCAAACTACTGAAATACTGCATTCAATAGTATATATGTTGAGCCGGTGCCACAGCTCACTAGGCTAATCGTCCGCCTTGTGGCGCCGGCACATCAGGTTCTAGTCCCGGTTGGGGCGCCGGATTCTGTCCCGGTTGCCCCTCTTCCAGGCCAGCTCTCTGCTGTGGCCAGGGAGTGCAGTGGAGGATGGCCCAAGTGCTTGGGCCCTGCACCCCGTGGGAGACCAGGATAAGTACCTGGCTCCTGCCATCGGATCAGCGTGGTGCGCCGGCTGCAGCGCGCCAGCCGTGGCGGCCATTGGAGGGTGAACCAATGGCAAAGGAAGACCTTTCTCTCTGTCTCTCTCTCTCACTGTCCACTCTGCCTGTCAAAAAATAAAAATAAAAAAATAATATATATGTTAAGTAGCATATTTCATAGTGGAAGCTTAATACTCTTGCTTTGGGAGTATGAGCATTTACAACGGAAGATATACTTTTGTATTTTTTCATGTTTCAAAACCTGCACTGATTTCCTAAATTTGTATGTGTGAGTATGCCTGTTTTTATACATATGCATGTGTGTGTGCATGGGTCTTTTAATGAGTTTTTAATGGGAGTGAGGTGAAGTAGGAGTGGAGACAAGGAGGATGAGATCTGTTGTTTTACTAGGATAACCAGAAAAGAGTAATCCAAAATCTGATGAGTGGAAAAGCTGAAATGAAAATATCAAAGATGGCTTTGATTTCTGTGCTTCCATAAACCACAGGATCCTTAAATTTGGGTTATTGTTTTATTGTCCATTCATTGTATTTTCTCTCTTTTTAAAATGTAAGATCTCTTAAACTGTACCCTTAGAAGGAAGTCCATAGGGATGTATGCAGGACTATACATCTTTACAGTTACAAACTTTATACATTTCATAATTACAACTTTAGGAACATGGTGATTCTTCCCACTGTGCCCACCCTCCCATACCATTCCTCCTTCCTCTGTTATTCTCACTCTTATTTTTTACTGAGATCTATTTTCAATTAACTTGATACACATACGATTAAATCTATGTTAGGTAAAAAGTTCAACAAACAGTATGAAAAAAAGGCCATTCCTCAACAGTAAAGACAAGGGCTGTTCAGAATATTTGTTTCTCAAAGTGTCAATTTCATTTCTACAGATTTATTTTGGGTGCACTATTAGTTATCACAGGTCAGGGAAAACATATGTTATTTGTCCCTTTGGGATTGGCTTATCTAAGTATGATGTTTTCCAGTTTCATCTATTTTGTTGCAAATGACCAAATTTTTTTCACCACTGTGTAGTATTCTATGGTGTACTTATCCCATAATTTCTTTATCTAGTCTTCAGTTGATGGGCATTTGGGTTGATTATGTGTCTTAGCTATTGTGAATTAAGCTGCAATAATCATGGGGGTACAAGCAACTCTTTCATATGCTGATTTCATTTCCCTTGGGTAAATTCCCAGGAGTGGGATGACTAGGTCATACAGTATGTCTATATTCAGATTTCTGAGGTATCTCCATACTGTCTTCCACAGTGACTTTACCAGTTTACATTCCCACCAACAGTGGTTAGGGTACATTTTTCCAGACATCTTTGCTAGCATTCGTTATTTGTTGATTTCTGTATGAAAGCCATTCTAACTGGGGTGAGGTGAAACCTCATTATGGTTTTCATTTGCATTTCCCTGATGGCTAGTGATCCTGAGCATTTATTTCATGTGTCTGTTGGCCATTCAGATTTCCTCTTTTGATAAATGTCTCTTTAAGTCCTTTGTCTATTTCTTCACTGGATTGTTTGTTTTGTTGTTGAATTTCTTGATCTCTCTATATATTCTGGTTATTAATCCTTTATCAGTTGTATAGTTTACAAATAATTTCTCCTATTCTGTTGGTTACCTCTTCCCTTTGCCATGGGATCCCAAATCCCCTTAAGCTGGATGGTAAAAATAGCATTTAAGTGTTAAAGTGATCATATGGATAGGATTAAGTGTTAAAAGTGATCAGTATAAATAGGATTAAGTGTTTGGTAATAATAATAGATAGAATTACATAGGAGTGAATTTTCCAACATGGGAAGCAGTCCATACAGCTGACCCATAGAATGACAACTATTTTAAATAACACTCTAACCTCAGAATCAGCCCTTAAGGCATTCTGGTCTGGCTGAAAAGCCTGTGAGAGCATTTTAGGCATGGAAAGCCAAGGCACTGTGGCAAAAAGTGTCCTACACAAAGGACCTCTGTGGGTGAGACCTCAGTGGAAAGAAGTGGTCATCAAAGAAGGGAGGAGAGAGCTTCCACTTTGCTTATAGCCTTGTCTGACTACTAAAGGTGTTGGTATATTCAAAAGGCTTTCATAGTTTAGGCAACTCATGTCAAGAGCCTCAGGTGATCACTGACATCATGAATAAGAGTATTGACTGTTAAATTAACAATAGTCACTGTACACTAACTTCCCATGCAGGACCTCTGTCCTCAAAGAGTTGTATTAGGAGAATTAATAGTAAAAATTATTCTCAAAGATTTACTTCATTTTAGTGTATTAAGTGCAGGATATTCTTATGTCTCATAAGTTATAGTTATATCAAAGTGCTCACAAGAGATGTATCGTTCTTGAGTTCTTCTTAGGTTTCTCAAAAAAGAATGCTTTAAAAAATAAGTGAAATTAACTTCAAGCCCTTGTCTTGACTGCTGAGGAACAGTTTTTTTTTTTTCATACAATTTGTTGAACTCTTTACTTAGTATAGAGTTAATCTGCTGTGTATAAAGTTAATTCAAAATATATATTAGTAAAATATAAGACTGGGAATAGGAGAGGGAAAAAGAAGGGTGGGAGTGTGGGTGGGAAGGCGGGCAGGGTGGTAAGAATCATTATGTTCCTAAAGTTGTATTTATGAAGTGCATGACGTTTGTATTACTCAAATAAAAGGTTTCTTTGGGGAAAAATGTAAGATCTTTGGTTGTTGAAATTGAACTTTGAATTAGAAGGCACAGATCAAGCCAAAGGGAAAAAAAGAGGACTTATAGCAGGGTCAAAGCTTTTGGATTTTGCAGCTAAATTACCAAGAATATGGAAGTGCCATTGACTTTCTCAGAACCTCAGTCAGTTTAGGAGTCATTCTCAGTTCTTTTATGCAATTTTATTTGTGATCCTCCAAAAGTGAGCAACTAACTTCAATTATGACATTTGGTTACTTGTATGTCAAATTATTTCATTTTGAAAAATGTGAAGTATGCACTATTACTCACACAGAAAAGTTGACTTCCATTTCCTGTTATTAAGAATGAAAGAACTTCAGAGAGAAATATTCCCTTGATACACTCTTAGACAAACTTGATATTATAAAATCTACAATAGTTAATCTCAGTAAATTGGTTTCTCCAAGTTCCTCTTTCCGTTAACATTAATATAAAATGAAGACAGTGCCGAATGAATTACAGGGCCTTGACTTCTGAACTTCAACCTAGTGTCATGTAATCTCTTATTCTATCTCTTCCTTGCCTCCTTCATTTTTCCTTAATACACAGATGCCAGATGAACTTTAAACAGAGTGCTCTTAGGCTGACTGGCCACAGCAAACCACTCAACATTTCATGCCCAATTATGGTTGCTTAGTTGTATCCCTTGTCCATCTTAGGGGCAGCTGAATATTGTGTACAATGATATACGTATCTGAAGTTTAACTATGCTCAAATGAACTAGTCAAAATGCAAGGAAGCAACTTATTGAGAGACATTTTATTTACTGAAGTCATAGTTGTTTTCATATCCTGGATATTGACTCACCGTATTTACACCATTGGAGAACCTAATGGTGTAATTTGTTTTATTGTTACATACTTGCCATGGATGCTACAGTCTTAATATTCGTGCCCTCCATTAATATATTGAAATCCTCACCTCCAAGGTGATGGTATTAAGGTGTGGGACCTTTGAGAGATAATGGGATTAGTGCCCTTATAAAAAGCCCCAGAGAGATCCCTCACTTTTTGCACCATGTGACGACACAGAAAGATGATACCATCTATGAAGCAGAAAGCAAGCCCCCACCAGACACACAATCTATCTTATTCTTGTACTTTCCAGTCTCCAGAATTGTGAGAAATAAACTTCTGCTGTTTATAAGCTATAAAGTTGATGAAATTTGTTATAACTGACCAAATGGGTTATGACCATGGGAAAACTGATTATCCTCTCCTTATCAAACTACATATTACTATGAGTCAAGGTTCATACTTTCCAGGAGCTAGATAGAGAATGGCATTGAGACACTATTTCCTTGTCCCTAAAATATTCATGACTTGAATAATACTGACTTTGTAGAAGCTCTGCTGGTTGGGTCACTCCACTCTGAAAAGAAAGGACACAAATAATTACTGTTCATGTTTTCACTGTCAAATCACTATTCTTAATTAAATTGTTCTCAAGTATACAGCCTTTCAAGTTATACAGTTTTACAGCTTCCTGCCACAAATAACAGATAAAAAAAACAATTATCCAATTGGATGTGCTACAATGTAACTATTTCTTACTCTTTTTCTTGCATGTTTTAATATTATAAAATAGAAAAGTAAGAAACATGAGGGAGATGGGGACATGGATGTTTAAACTAAGCAGTGTTTTTCAAAAACACTTACTTTGTAAGGTGAATCCTGGGGTCAGATGTTGAGATTCCTATTAGGAAGAATACAGAATATGCAAACATTAATTAAATGATACCAGTAGAACAAAATGTGTATCTTTTATTGCTAGAGATACAGCTTGACTATTGTTTCCAAATAGGAAACCACTGGTTAAAAGTTACATTAATCAGACTTCTTTCTGTAGCTGTATTGGAAGGGAACATTTGCTAGCCAAGCCTGCTGTAGACAATGATCATAATTGTCATTTTATCCAAATTATAAATGGGGGCATGTGGAAATTTGGACAACATGGGAACAAACGTCCCATATGTGTGAAATTCAAGTGTATCATTTCTTACTTAGCTAGGCATGGATACAGATATGATCATAGTTTTTGCAGAAGAAAAAGTAATAGATTCACTCAGTATTTTCCTTTCATAGAAACAAGCCCAATTTTCTACCTGAACACATATGCAATAAATGTAACTCATTTTGTACAAAAGTGGTGTTTTCAAACTCATTACAGAGATAGCTATTTGGCATAGTCATTAAGATGCCTCTTTTTTTAAACTTTTATTTAATAAATATAAATTTCCAAAGTACAGCTTTTGGATTACACTGCCCCCCCCATAACTTCCCTCCCACCCACAACCTTCCCATCTCCCACTCCCTCTCCCATTCCATTCACATCAAGATTCATTTTCAATTATCTTTATATATCCTACATCAGAGTGCCCATATTCATGTTCCAGCTCTGCTATAGATTCCATCTTCACTCTCTCTCTCTCTTTTTATTTTTTTTTTTTTGACAGGCAGAGTTAGACAGTGAGAGAGAGAGACAGAGAGAAAGCTCTTCCTTCCCTTGGTTCACCCCCCAAATGGCCACTACAGCCGGTGTGCTGCACCGATCTGAAGCCAGGAGCCTGGTGCTTACTCCTGGTCTCCCATGTGGGTGCAGGGGCCCAAGCACTTAGGCCATCCTCCAATGTGTTCCCGGGCCACAGCAGAGAGCTGGACTGGAAGAGGAGCAACCGGGACAGAATCTGGTGCTCCGACTGGGACTAGATCCCAGGGTGCTGGCACCGCAGGCAGAGGATTAGCCTAGTGAGTTGCGGCGCCGGCCTTACTCTTTTTGTAAGATTTATTTTATTTATTTGAAAGAGTTACAGAGAGAGGTAGAGACAGAAAGAGAGGTCTTCCATCCACTGGTTCACTCCCCGGATGGCCGCAACAGCTGAAGCTGTGCCAATCCGAACCCAGGAGCCATTAGCTTCCTCCAGGTCTCTCACGTGGGTGCAGGGGCCATAGGACCTGGACCATCTTCTACTGCTTTCCGAGGCCACAGCAGAGAGCTGGATCAGAAGTGGAGCAGGCGGGACTAGAAGCGGCACCCAATTGGGATGCCAGTGCTTCAGGCCATGGCTTTTAACCCACTGCGCCACAGCACCGGCCCCTCCACTTCTGATTCTAGCTTTCTATTAATTCACACCCTGGGAGGCAGCAGATAACATCTCAAGTAGTTGGGTCCCTTTCACCCACGTGGGAGAACTGAACTGAGTTTCTGGTTCCTGGTTTCTGGATTTGGTATGGTCCCGCTCTGGCTGTTGTTGGAATCTGAGAAATGAACTAGCAGATGTCGGATCCCTTCATCCCCCGCCCCTGGCTCTGGATGAATTGTAGGAAATCATGTGAAATATGTTAGTTGAGTCAATTCTTTAAAGGGATTTAAATTTGATTTTAGGGGCCGGCACTGCGGTGCAGCGGTTTAAAGCCCAGCCCTGAAGCGCTGGCATCACATATGGGTGCTGGTTTGAGACCCGGCTGCTCCACTTCTGATCCAGCTCTCTGATATGGCCTGGGAAAGCAGTAGAAGATGGCCGAAGTCCTTCGGCCTCTGAAGCCGTGTGGCAGACCCGGAATAAGCTCCTGGCTTCGGATTGGCACAGTTCCGGCCGTTGCAGCCAATTGGGGAGTGAACCATCAGATGGAAGACTCTCTCTCTCTGCCTCTCCTCTCTCTGTGTAACTCTGACTTTCAAATAAATAAATAAATCTTTAAAAAATAATTTTTAATTTATTTGACAGTTGGAGTTAGAGAGAGAGAGAGAGAGAGAGAGAGGTCTTCCTTCTATTGGTTCACCCCCCAAATGGCCGCTATGGCAGGCGCTGCACCGATCCGAAGCCAGGAGCCTGGTGCTCCTTCCTGGTCTCCCATGTGGGTGCAGGGGCCCAAGCACTTAAGCCATCCTCCACTGCCTTCCCGGGACACAGCAGAGAGTTGGACTGGAAGAGGAGCAACCGGGACTAGAACCCAGAGTCCATATGGGATGCTGGCGCCGCAGGCGGAGGATTAACCAAGTGAGCCACGGCTCCGGCCCCTAAAAAAGTAAATTTGATTTGAAAGTCAGACTTCATACAATTCATTTCACTGGTGTGAGAACTGCAAATGTGCAGATATCAGGCTTGCTAGCAGTGCGGCCCATCTGTGTGGATCCTGACATAATTCACAGGCAGAACACTACACTGATGTTCAGGGCACACAAAATACAATGCAGATGGAAGAGAGATGTATTATGGACTGCAAAGCAAGCATTCCAAAACCGAAGACACAATCAATCCAACGAAATACAAGAATTTGTTATAACAATCACTGTTGCAAGTAATCAATACATTAAACCTAATCTTGCCACCTTACAGAACAAAAACAAGATCACAATATAATTTATCTAAAAAAAAAGCAAGAACTGTAACTCTGTATTTGAATGAAAAATGAACTTTCTGATCTATTTAGCATGATTCTATTGGCCAACAGATTTGTCTTCTGGCAAGATCACCACTCAAGAAAACCATATAAACTCAACAAGAAGCAGGAAAGTCCTCTGAGCTAGAGAGCTGTCACAAAGCCCATCCAGTTTGCTGCTCAAAGCCTTCTGTTCTCTTGCTGATAAAGAATTGCTTTTTGACAAAGACTGTAAAAAGCTTAACTATTTGATTTGCACCCTTTAGCAAATCACAGATGGCAAGGAAGGGGAAATACTTCTGGTGGCGCAACCATTTGTAACATTGAGTTATGAAAACCCACATTGCAAGATTCCATGGAAAAATGACACAACAAAGTCAGTAGTTTAAAAAAACACAAGAGTCTATGTCCATTTCATAGAGAGGCAAGAATTCCTGTCTGTATATTCCCCAAAGGCATAATTATAGCATAGTATAATAATATAATTCAGTTTGTGGGTACTTCAACAAATTCATATTAAACAGAATTCAAAGATATGTTTATTTTGGTGTAAATTTTTTTATATCCATCCATATGAGTGGTCTTCAAATAGGTCATGGGTAATGGGTATTATGAAAAAACATCTTTGTATGCTACCAAATTCACTTAATATACATACCGAACTCCAAATGGAAATAGCCTGGTAGGGGAAATAATTTGCATCATTCATGTAGTAATTGTTAATGAACATTGTACAAAATTTTAAAAAGTACCTGACTTTGATCATGTACATTTTTCATAGACATGTCATATATGTAATTTTTGCAACAAGATAGAATGATGCAAAATTGCTAACACAAACTTGCATGAGACTATTTTAAGAGCCTTGTTAATAATCTCACAATCAGAAACTCTATGTGATCTATAGTCTAGAGTAGGCATTGGCTAATTTTTTCTGCAAAGGGCCAGATAGTAAATAATTTAGGCTTTGGGAGACATACCATCTCTGTCATAGTGACTTTATTCTCCTCTGTTAAAGAAATCATGGATAGTACATTACCAAATGCATGTAAAACTGAAATATGAATTCTAGATTCACATTCATTCATAATAATATTATTTTTCTTTTGAATTTTTGTTTTTATATTTTAATGACATATAACAATACATATTTATGAAGTACAGTGTAATAATTCAAGTCATGTATATAGCATGTAATGATCAAATCCGGATAATTAGTATTTCTATCTCTAACATTTATCATGTCTTTGTGATGGGGACCATCAAACTTCTCTCTTCCAGTTCTTTTTTAAATGCTCATTTATTTTACTTATTTTAAAGATAGAAAGACATAAAGACACAGAGGCAGAAAGAGACAGGCGTCTCCTGACTGCTGGTTTACTCTCCGGATGGTCACAACAGCAAGGATTAGGCCAAGCCTGAATCAGGAACTCAATCTGGGTCTCCCACATAGGCAGCAGGGGCCCAACTACTTGTGCTGTCTAGCTGCTGCCTCACAGGGTACCCATCAGCAGGAAGCTGTAATTGGGAATGTAGCCAGGAATCCAATCCAGGCACTCTGAAATGGAATATGGACATCCCAAGGATTGTCTTAATTAATGTGCCAAATGACCACTCCTAGTTATTATTTATCAAACATATAATAACTTTTTTTCTGTAAATTATAGTCCCCCTGCCATGCTATGGAAGACTTGAACTTACTCTTCTTTTTCTATTTTGGTTCCCTGTTACCATCTGATCTTCCTCAGTCCCCCCTTCCCCTTAATCTCTCAAGCCTTTAGTGGACATTATCCTCCTCTTCATTTGTATGAAAACAATTTTTTTAGCTTCCTCATTTGAGAACGTGTTTATTTGTCTTTCTTTCTTTCCTTTTTTAAAAATATTTTTTTATTTATTTATTTGAGAGGTAGAGTTACAGACAGTGAGAGGGAGAGACAGAGAGAAAGGTCTTCCTTCTGTTTGTTCACTCCCCAAATGGCCGCAACGGCTGGAGCTGTGCTGACCCAAAGCCAGGAGCCAGATGCTTCTTCCTGGTCTCCAATGTGGGTGCAGGGGCCCAAGCACTTGGACCATCTTCTACTGCTTTCCCAGGACATAGCAAAGAGCCGGATTGGAAGAGGGGCAGCCGGGACTAGAACTGGTGCCCATATGGGATGCCGGCGCCACAGGCGGAAGATTAACCCATTGCAACACAGCACCAGCCCCTATTTGTCTTTATTTCACTTAACATCTTAAAGTTCCACCCATGTTACAAAAAATGACAGGGTGTCTTTTTATGGCTGAATAATATTCCAGAGTGTGTGTGTGTGTAATATTTCTTGACTTGTTGCAGCACTTTAGAAAATTTTAAGCACTGAAAAAAAGTAAGAATGTATGAGCCGTAATTTGAGAACTTCTGTTCTAGAGGATATTTTTCATCTGGGGTGTTTTTGTCTTTGTTTTTAAATATTTATTTTTTATTTATTTGAAAGGCAGAGTTACAGAGTGGCAGAGGCAGAGAGAGAGAAAGGTCTTCCATCCCCTGGTTCACTCCCCAAATGGCCGCAATGGCTGCAGCTGATCTGATCTGAAGCCAGGAGCCAGGAGCCTCCTCTGGGTCTCTCCACGTGGGTGCAGGGGCCCAAGGACCTTGGCCACCCTTCGCTCCCCTCCCAGGTGCGCTAGCCAGGAGCTGAAACAGAAGTGGAGCAGCCTCGATGCAAACTAATGCCCATATGGGATGCAGGTGCTGCAGGCCTGGTTTAACCCGCTGTGCCATAGCAGCGGTCCCTGTGGTATCTTTATTAAACTTCCCTTAAGGACAGTGTTACTCAGTAAATTCTGCTTACTATGTACTTCCTTCCTTGTAAGAGTTTCCATTCTCTATGAGAAAACATGGCATTTTTCAATTTGGGGTTGGTAAGTGAATATGAGCTGAGAATTTTTCAACTGTATTTTCTGTTATGTATACATTTCACAGAATCATAGAACATTTGATGTGAAAATTCCATTGAGATTATATAGTCCTCAGACCTTCACACCTACAGACACATACCACCCCAGTCCAGATGAGGAAATTGAGGCTCAGTGGAAATGGAGCAGGACCACATAGCCAGCAAGTTGCAGAGCCGGGATAAAAAGGAGCCTAGATTGCAATTCTTCAACCAGCACTGTTCCCCTGCTTACCACATTGCTCTAGATTTAGGAAACTGATACTTTCAGAGAGGCAGGTGTCACCTAGGTCTGGTGCAAGCACTCAAAGAGGCAATTAACCCAGTTACCTATACTTCCTGAAGACAGCTATGTTTTAGAAGATGAAATTTGAACTGGGGAGAAGCCCCAGGTTTCTGGCATCATAACACCTGAACCTAAATAATGGTTCCTTCACTTATTAACTGGGTGATTCTGAACACATTACTTACCTATCACGTACCTCAGTTTCCTCCTCTGTAAATTATGAATGATAAAATTACCAATCTTTTGGGGTTGTAATGAGGACTGAATTATTTGCTGTATGTTAAATGCTTAGAATCAGGTGAAGCACATCATACCATTATATGAGGATATATGAAAAAGTTCATGGAAAACTCATATTCCTTTTTTTTTTTTTTGACAGGCAGAGTGGACAGTGAGAGAGAGAGACAGAGAGAAAGGTCTTCCTTTGCCGTTGGTTCACCCTCCAATGGTCGCTGTGGCCAACGGGCTGCGGCCAGCACACCGCGCTGATCCGATAGCAGGAGCCAGGTACTTCTCCTGGTCTCCCACGGGGTGCAGGGCCCAAGGACTTGGGCCATCCTCCACTGCACTCCCTGGCCACAGCAGAGAGCTGGCCTGGAAGAGGGGCAACCGGGATAGAATCCGGCGCCCTGACCAGGACTAGAACCCGGGGTGCTGGCACCGCAAGGTGGAGGATTAGCCCAGTGAGCCTAGTGGGCGGTGACGCCGGCCTCATATTCCCTTTTTACTAAATTTTTCCATGAACCTTTGGAAGCCTTCCCCTATATGTTGTTGATGTCTTTATTGTTATTTAAAATGCACTTTTCTTTCAAACCAACAATTTGGCAGGGATCAAAGGTGGGTGTATACCCATACTGGCTTCACCATTTTATCCAATTGATTTCTACCTTTATCTTGCGACTGGCAGCGCAGTAATTTGCAGAAAATGCAAATTGTGCCCTATTGCAGGCTGTGTATGTGCTATAAGAGCCCATTTATACAACCAGTTCTATTTTACACACTTGTAAATGTGAAAATTGTGACTTGTGCAATTTATCTACCAAATGGGAGAATCCAGCTGAAATAAATACAATTGCCACGGAAGTGTTGGATTTAAAGGCTGGGAAAAAAATGATGGGTTGCCCCCTTTGCTGGAGATGCTGGTGATAAGGATATCAAGCACAGGGCAGCCAAAAGAAAGAGAGTGAGGATACAGGAAGCAAAGATACACCCACAGACTGGGACAGTAAGAGTCATTACTCACTTAGCTCTCTCTCATTTCAAAGGTGACAGGGGATCATGAAATATAGTTTACAAGTAGTATTATTGTCAAAATCATGACTTTGAAACCTAAATAATCTAATTGGGTGTTTCTCCTTTTACAAAACTCCAAACTCCTTGGGGGTAGCATTCAAGGCCATTAATGGCGATGTGCTTACTTGCTCAGAATTCATCTCTTTCCATTGCCCACCAGAAAAGCTATGATCCAGACACATGGGATCTCATACCAGTATGGATCAAACCATGATCCCTCATCTCTCCATGACTTTGCTCATGCTGGTCTTCTGTATGGGATGGTCTTCTCTTGAACCTTTTTCCACCTGTCAGAATCCTAACCATCGTCTAAATGTTGCTACCTCCATGGTGAGCACATGCTCAACTCCCTGCGGGAATGTTAGATACTTTTCTGAGCTTTGTATTGTCTATGAAAATACCAACTACATTGCTTGGTAGTTTATCTGATAACATGTAGAGGACTTTTCTTCATCCCTTCATCCCCGTGGAAAATGGTTTCTGAATTAATGGTAGAAAGGAAAAGAAGAAGGGAAGGAAGGCATTTTCTGTCTTTTAACATGTGGTATTAGAATATCATGTCTACTTAGGCATTTAGAAAAGCTGGTGTTGATAAATTCTTATTCGGAACAAGTGAAGAAAACATTATAAATGTGTGACAATAGAACTGTAGAGGAGAAAGTTCTGTTCTGATAAGGCAGCTTATAAAGATCTGTTCGCTTGTGAGCAAGGACTAGAAGGTGATATATAGAAAGTAAAATTGATCCATTAGAAGGAAGAGCATGGATTTTTTAAATTAAAAAAATCATGGACACTATTGTTGCCTTTGCTCTTTGGTCTTAAGGGGTGAGCCACCACTCTGATTCATCAACTCTGGGGGCTATTATTTGGACAATGGCAATGCTCAGGTAGTAAGATATGCATGTAAATATTTTGTATAGATTGTCTTAAAGAATCTTTTTTTAATAAAAATCATATCTACATTACTATCCTGAGGGGCAAGATATAATCTAGATTTTATAGTACTAGGAGACCGATGCCAATCAGATTGGTCTAATTAAAATAAGGTAAAAGAAAATGGATGAAGGAAGAGAACTGACCTGTCCTGGGATGGAAAATGCATGTTGCTCAGAGTTTCCAGGAGTGTGCATGGCAGTAAGAGGAGTGGGCCAGGAATGGGTCATCTCCTGATGAAGAAAAACAAAGCAACTTTATTTCTGAGCACTTAAAAAAGCCCTTATTAGCATTAAACATAGTAGACTGTTCATAAATACTTATTTAATGTATCTTTTTAATATTGAGGACGTTAAGGTAATTCAATATAACCCCCTACCCCACGTTGGTGCTTGAGGTCCTTCTGCAATGCAAAAGCTCATTTGACATCTGTTTGCATATTGCCAGTGACAGGGAGCTCACTACTGCTTGAAGTAGCCTGTCTCATACTGAGACAGCTGGCTCAGACTCTTCTTCCCAGGTGGAAATTAAACATCTGTCAGGAGCTTCTACCTATGGATCACACTTCACAAAAGCACAGAATGCATCTCCTCCTTCTTTCACATGACAATCCCCAACTATTTGAAGATAGCAATCCTATCTGCTGCTGTTGTCTCTTCTCCAGGCTGAGACATTCTCAGCTTGTTCATTCATTTAGTGGGACTCTTCAACTTTTTTTTTCTAACGCTCCAGTTCTGCCTTCTGTCTCTATCTTTGGAGCTCCCAGGAGGGACTCCTAATTGCCTGGGGCTCCTCTAACTTATGGGATTCTGCTCCAGGTATGATCTGCCTGTTCTAGGGAGTGCAGCACTGTCATCACCTCCATTCTTCTCTTGATGCACCCTAACAGTTAGTGACAAGATTATGCACATGCTGTTGATTTTTCCATGCAAAGATGAGACAACTGAAGAAATCTCTGTCTCATTCATAGAGAAGGTTATTATGAGATTTGTAGCTTGATTCCACCCAGTCACACACATAGTGTATTTGTGAGTTCAAATTTTCAAATAGGAAAAGCCCCTAAGGCTCCCACCCTCTGTTATCAGCAGGGTCACCTTCTCAGCTCTTTCAAACACTCTGTTTGAATAGAGGTGCTATTCAAATCTTGCTCTAGTCTTAGGGCATGTGGCCAACATGTTTTACCCTAAGAGCAAAGATAATTAAATCACATGCTCAAAATCCAAGCAACAGAAAGATGATAAATTTGGTGAAGCAGGAGGGAGTCAGCATGTGTTGGATTCATCAAACATTTTCTTATATAAACATTAAACATAAAAATCAATGTAATGATGGAAATAAAGGAGGAGTTTGGGGAGGGGAGGAGGGGATCAAAGTTTATGAGAATGCTTTTTAATGCACAGCTATATAATACTATTTTACAATCTTTATGGGTAACATAATTAGTCATTTCAAAGGTAATATTAATAAGAACTCTCAGGTAGCACTAAAATATGGTTTTTTTCCCTTTTTAATTACCCAGTTCAAAGAGTCTTTGATGTCTGAAGAGTTCTAATGCAAGGAGATACTTCACAGATTCACTCACAGTGGCACTGGGGAAGCAGAATTTGTAAGTATTATACAGACAAGCACTGGCACAGATTGAAATTTACCCAGAACTATTTAAAAGGGAGGTGGCAAGTACATTAAAAATGCACACAGAATTTAGAGGGGATACTTAACCTGCTTAAAAGATAGACTATTTCCAAGTGTTTTTGAGTTGAACATTTGTATTCAGTTGATAATATTCATGACAACTACTAATGCAGCCATCAAAACTAGTCCCAAAGTAACTCTACCTGACATCAATTTAAAGTGTAATTCTAATTAGCTTGTATCTTTAAACTAGTTAATGAACTCTTTTAAAATGTATAGGGTTTTTCTGACTAAGGTTACTCTCCAAAATTAGATCATATAAAATATATATTATGCCTGTGAACTACACTGAATCTGCACCCTTTGTATTAATGTAACATTAACATGAAAAAATAAAGTATCTAAAACTCAAAAAAATTAAAAATGAATAAAATATATAACTAGGGAAGAGGAGGTGTTGGTAAAAAGGCACAAAGTTTCAGTTTGGAAGAATAGCTTCTGCCGATCTATTGTATAACATGTACTATATAATTGAAACTTGCTAAGTGGTAGATTACAAATATTCTCACCATAACAAATTGGTAATTATGTGAGGAGATGGGTATTTGAACTACCTTGATTTAATCATTTTATAACATAAACTTTTATCAGAAAATTGTGCCCATAAATACTGGTTCTACTTGTGACATAAAAAGAAATTATTTTTGAAATTAAATAAAGTACAGTTCATATTCAGTCAGAGCCCACCAAGAAGCAATAAGCTCCAGTCTGTAAAAGGAGTATGGTCTCTTTTATGTAACCAGTGGTTATGCCTCTAGGTTTATTAAAAGGTATTTTGGATACTGAAAAGAATGAAATCACTTCTAAAAGGTATACTTTCTCCCTACATTTTATATACCAGGGGACTATAGAAAGTTCATGGAAAATGGAATTTAAAGGTAATTAAATCTGGTGCAAAATTTTTGAAATCTGCAAAGATTTTCCATAAACACAATTTTTGTGAACTTTTTGAAGACCCCTTATATGCATGGATTTAAAATTTATTTGTCACTAAATAAACTTATCTTTTATTTCAATTTTCCATGGACTTTTAAAATTATCTTTATATTTACTTTGTGACAGAATCTGATTATCTTGAATTACCAATGTAGTGCACTGTCCTACTGGCCAATCCACATGGAATCACACATATTTTTTTCATATTCAATTACGATTGATTCTCTGTATTAGAAAACGTGAGATTTCATGAAATAGCATGCTGAGTCCATGCTACCACTGATGCATTTGATTACAGTAGGGAGGATGCTGTTGAAAGGAATATAATTTCCTGAAAGGGTATCTTCAGCAAGGAAATTTGAAGCAAGCTCTTTCACTTCTCAAAATGAGTTAGACTTGTAAAGTGTGGCAAGCTCACAGTAGATTTTCCATTGTTATCCTTTTCATTAACACTTGAAGGATTTTAATCTATTTCTGTGTTCTTGCTCTTTTCAAGATAAGAACCCCTATCATTCCTTATCCAGCTGAACTTATATTCGTCCTTCACCAAGTCATCAGGTAGGGATAAGCACCTACTCCAAAAACGTTGCCAAGTCTTTTACAACAGACTATAAGGCTGAACACCTGAACTCAACACCAAGCATCACTTCTCTTTTAACAAAAACACACACACACACACACACGTGCGCCCGTGTGTGTGACATTGGTCTGAATCTCCACAAATGAGCTCCCCTCTCTCTCCTTTGACCTGCTGGAGAGAGACAACGCATAGATTCCTACCCTCCCTGGAAAACTGAAGTATTAGTGGTTCTGAGAGGTGAGGTCACTTATGGACAGTCTCACATTCAGTTGTAAGTGAATGTTGGTCACTGGTTTCAAAGCACACTGTTTCCAAATGGGTCTCCCATTTTTAAAGTTAATGCGGAAAGAATGAAGCAACACTGTTTTACTTTTTAGTCTTTAACAAAGAATAGGTTTCACAATTGATAGTATTCTAAGTAATTTCTAACAATGCGCAGATGTTTTCTTAATGTGATGTGAAGGCTCCAAAGTCAAACGCAGAAAAATCACAAAAGGTTATATATTCCAGCACATTATCCATACTATGGCTCACAGGCTAGGACCCTAACAAATTGAAAATAACTTTCAGGTAGCTCAGCTTTGCTCAGTAGAAACGCAGAAGCTGGGTACCTCACAGGCTGTGGGTGGAAGACTATCTTGTGTTCCACACTCTGCTAATCTCAAATGTATCCTATACTCATCTAATACAGAGCTTTTGGAATGGCTGTTATCTCAAGTAACTGAAGTATGTTGCCACAAGTCTTATTTTCTTCAACCTTGAATCTCCTGCGCCTATTACATAGTAAGTAATTATGGTTTTTTTTTTGTTTTTTTTTTTTGTTTTTTTTTTTTTTTTTTGCACCACAAACAAAAGAGGCAGTGATTGTTAGCATCATACCCATTTCGCAGCTAGGGAATTGGAAATGCCAAGAGGTGAAGTTACTTGTTCAATGCTACACAACAAATGGCAGGGTCTGTGTTCTACTAATCTTTATTTAGTTGCCGCAATCCGCCAGTCATTGGGATATAGAAATGACAAAGACAAGCTCCTTCCCCAGGACAGATCACTTTGCTTTACATGCTAATCACCTTGAAAGAGAAATGTGTAAACATACAAGGAACATGGTAGCAGGAACAAGTCACTGTGCAAGGCATCTGAGCAAGGTTTAGTGGTGGAGGTGAGGCAAACAGTAGGTGTATGTATATGTATGGTGCATGTATGTATTCCTTTCAGAGGCCTACATTACACCTGATATATACTGGCTGTTCAAACAATATGCACCCAGCTTTAGCAAAATATTAAGGTCTTTACCTTAATATTTGAGCTAAAGAAATGGTTTGAGCTAAAGAGATGGTTATAGCAAATTTTCAAATGACTATTAATAAATACAAATAATGGTGATTTTCACACATATTTCATTAGTTATTGTTATTATAATTAGAAGCAGCTCCAAAAGATCCCTTGCCTAAGAATGATAAAAGAAGAACTTAAGTCTGAGCTCCACAAAAAGTTACCTGAGTGACCCTGGCGAAGTTGCTTGCCCTCTCTGCGCCTCCATTTGCCTATCTAGAACATGTGGGCTTTGGCATGGATGGCCACTATGTGTTCTCCTAGCTACAAATGCTGTCAGCCTCTGATTCTGCTTGTTTTGCCTACCACACAAGCTTGCTACAAGAGGAAGTAAGCTAATACATGTGCAAGGACTTTGGCAACCATATAGTGCTGTGCACATTCAGCTTGCTATTCCCACAACCAGAACTACAGCGTTGCCACTATGAGCCTGCATGCCTCCACTTAGCAAATGGGTAACTTAGGCATTCCTCACAGCTCAAGATGATAGGAGTTCCATAAACCTTCCTCTTTTTCCTATATTAAAATGCAAAGAATAGAATAAATGCATCTTTTAAAATATTTACAAACACCTGTGATTAAGAACATGTGAAATGCTGAATGGTTTTCAAATAAAAAAAGTATGACTGAATAGGAGAAATCTACAAAATCAGGCTGGAGTTTATTTTTACAGGGACTTAGAATTAAATGCAT